GCTTCTGTTAAGGCTTCTGCTCCAATCTCTCAAGCAAAACACTCTTTGCCTCCAGTCTCAAACAGTAAAAGGGGAAGCAGCAATTTTTCACAAGATCATTCTCCTGCATCACTGCTTAAGGAAAACAACAGGTCCAAGAGAAAAAGGTATAAACAGTTTTCCTTCTGTCCAGTGCAAGTTTATGCATCACTCTGGGCAAGAGGTTCAAAATGTGTTACTGGATGACAATACTAAACACAGAAAGCCCATTTTGTAATGGAGTTTCATGAGCTTGCACTGGTCAGCTATAACAGAACAGTTTCTGCTAGTACTGTACCCCTTGTCAGCCTACACAAAAATGAAACTATAATAAAGCACTTACTTGATCCTGCAGAAAAAGGATTTCACCTGGGCATATTCATACGGAGAAGCTAGTAAGATAAACACATTGAAAGTATCAGTTAATATCCTTTAAAAGGTCACACCTATCAGAAGTATGGTAAACTCTGCATTCTCCAGATTTTTTGAGCAAGACTGAAGTCTCACAACCTACTCTTTTAGCTACTGAAATGTCTGTTCAACAGTCTGCTCCCACCTCAGATATTATCTCTCTTCTCTAGTCCACTCACTCTTAGAGAAATTGCTGACCTGGAACTAAATTCAGAGGAAATGCATATGAAAAAAAAAGATGGAAGCAAACAAATCAACCAACCAATCAATGCACTAAAAAATTTTCTCCAGTGCATCACTGCAAAGAGGAAAGGTGGTTTTTTCTGGCTTTATGAGCCAAGTACCAAAAACTATATACAGACAAGAAAACCTCAACTCCACTGGGGTGCCACTACTCTGCTGGGTAGGCACATCACTGGCATCCAAGTTGTGGAATCCTTGGCATTCAAAACCTCCAGATGTCTCATATCTTTTGATAACAAGGACTTTGGACTTCTCAGAACTGATGCCAGAACAACCCCACGTCAAGGTGGGTAAAAGACACAGCCTTGGCCTGCAAGCTACGTTTGAACTGCTCACAAATAACACAGCACTCAAAAGTCTCAGTGTAGACACATCCAGCACTACACAGCAAATCAGCTTAAAACTTGGGTTTGATGAGCTGTGCTCACAGCAGGCAGTGACCGGACCATAAAGACAAAGCACCTAAGCAACCGTAAGGTGTAGATTAAACAACTTTAAGCTCACAATCAGACTTACTTCCTTTTCAAAAAGCAGCAATATTTGGAATGAGTAAGATGATACATGAAACAATGAAATATGTGCCTTTCATTTACCCCAAGTAAGAGTTAAGCTGTCAGACTAGTTAGGAATGGTCCCACTCCCACTCGTTTTCAAAGTGGAAAGGAACAAATGAGGCTGATGCATATTGCTAGCACAAGCACCTAAAATGAACTACTACTCTGTCCTCATTCTGCAAAGACAGAAAGACACACAGAGCATTTAGGAGCATTGCCATGTCCCACCTGTTTGATTTTCCATGTTCCAAAGCGGCAGGTGAGACTGATCAGTGTGTGTGTAGAACACACTCACATCCTGAGGGACAAGCAACTCCACAAACCGGGAAGAGTCCAACACTTTCTTCTTACAGTTCAGAATAGATGCTGCCTGCTCAGAAATATGCACTATGCGTCCAGACAGCAAAGAAAATACAGCCACAAACGTGTCCTGGAAAACAAACATTAAAGGCAATCATTTCCTGAAACACAGCAGTGATAAGGTAAGGATAAAAAAGGAAAACCACCCCAAAACAAACCAACCCCAAATCACTACACAACACAACCTCAGGCTGAGGTTCAAAATTGTGTTGGGTAGTGTGTGATCCACTACACTCTCCAGTACTGCAGCATTGTACACAAGATTTACAAATGGTGGTAAGACTGCATTAGTCTCAAAACAGATTAATGCTTATCTTTGCTCTGCATGACTGGTTATCACTTCATACACTCCACAAATTTCAGAGGAATCATCACAATTCCTCACACAGAAGCATTCCGAGAGCTTTCTAATATTTTTTGCATTTTTTCAAGCATTAGCAGTATTTTTGACGCATCATCCAGCAGTACTGAATTTCAAGAAACACTTCTTTAAAGTTGTAAAAGTAAAAATCATAACATATATTGCAAAAAATGAAAAAAAAATTTAATGTGGAGTACAAATGGAAACCAAAAGTCCCTCACAACTATGGATCTGACTGGTTTTAAAAACTTTCTGCTGTCTCAAGAGATTACTCTGCTGTAAATGAATTCTTAAAGAACTATTTGTTGCTTCTGGCCAAAAAAAAAAAAAAAATTAGTATTTCTTCACTCACTATTCTTGGGTACTGACACAGCACAGACAAGAGGTAATCTTGATTTATCTTTAAAAGCTTGAAGGTCTGTCTGGCTAAAATTTAAAGACCTTTCAATTTTACACATCCTATTTCCACAAAAAAATGTTAGGACACTAAATTTAGTGAAACTGAATTAACTCCTTGAGTGTGCCTGAATTCTTACAGTGTTTTTTGGAGTGTGTTCAGATGCAACTGCCACCAACTCTTCTATGCTGTACGTCACCACATCTGCCTGAAATGCTCTTCGGTCATTCAGAGCCTGGAAAAAGTCATTGTTTGCTAATTGGAAATAAAAAAACAAAACAGAAAAAGCAAAACAAACACAAGGAAGTCAGTAAGGAGACTACTTTGAAAGTATTTCTTACAGCCCTTGTACTTTTGTCATCTTTTTGGTGAAGTCCAAGGTGAGATGAGAAGGTCTGTGTAGTGACAAAGGGAAAAGGAACACTGATTATACTACTGGAGTAATCTCATTTTGTTACAGAATACAAGCATGAAGAAGCAGTACAATTTTAGCTACTTAGTTCTGTGGGAAAACACAAACTAACCAATAGCTTTTCAAAGTGGGATGGGAACACCATTTTCTAAATATACACAGAAAGTTACTATTAGGTGCCTCTTAGCTATGGGACTCTGAAGTAAAGGGAAGCAGTAGGGGGTACCTCAACAGAAGGGATAACACGGTTGTTTAACAAAAAAACTGGCAACAAAACCATAGTGCTTCAGAAACTCAACTCTTTACAGGATAACTGGAATGCATTCTTTTAATGCTACTTGTTGCCATCTATGCAAATCATGTTGTTCTCCCAGGTTTTCTGCACACGTACCTTGGACCTGCTGGACGCACTGCAAGGCATAGTTGAGAGCACTGATGGTACTGGGCTTGTTAGAATTCCTTTTCTCTTCAGGCAAACACCTTTTCATTTCTTGGATCATCATCATCATATCTTTGTGTGACTGGCTCCAATTCAGCTGTTCGCTGTAAAACAGAGGTAAAACCTCACCAAGGAATACTGGTGTTGATTTTTTTACTACCACCCAATTAAAATTACTCCCTAAATTAACATATTACGGGAACGGCTGCAGAGTCATGTAATATCCAGGAATGTCCTAATGCTCATCCACTGAATTTCCTGCTGTATCTTTCTCACTTCTTTGTAATTGAAGTTTTTCTCCTCTATGTTCCTCCTTCCCAGCTCCAGTATCATGGATGGCAAAGTCACACTGAAACCACCCAGCTTGCTAAGGTGCCTAGCAACTAAAAATAAGATGATGTTTAGTCTAGATTTTCTAAATAACACAGGTATTAAAATAATAAATGCTGATTCTTCATCTCTCTAAGGTTTTCTAGCCTTGAAGGCTGTACCTGGTTATAAGCATCTCAGGGAACCGTGAGGTCCTCAAAATACACCTGATACAAAGATTACAGGCCTCGTGACTTCAGTCTTCGTCATACTTTTTAGCTGTTGACTTCAACAGCTGCAGAACTGTTAACAGATAAAATCTCCTTCTCCTTACATTTTCTTATTTCACGGACTAAAGAATAAACAGTCAATATCCTCAAATCACAGATTCTAATCCGAAATATACGAACCCCATTTTTTAAGTAACTCTTTTCCAGTCGACAGTGTCATTAGTATCGTACTCTTACTATATAAATAATTACATAAGTGTAAGTATTGCGTGGTAACTACACATGCCTGATCAACGCTGCATACATCATAGCTCTTTAACTCTTTCTTAGATTAAAAAACCAAATTACTGAATTTCCAAACTCTCACAAAAAACGTCATTCCAGCAATCTCTGTTTTGGCACTGCGAACCAGCCTTCAGCTGAAGCACACATCCAAGCTACCCGAGGGTCGCTGACGTGCGCGGCTCAGCCGATCCCAAAGGAGAAACAGCTTATGGGAGCCGGGAGCAGCTCCACGCTCAGCGCACCCACCGCGGCCCGTGACCCCCGCAGCCCCGGGCGGCAGGGCCCGAGCAGCGCCCCGCTCCCACCGAGCGCATCCCCGCGCTCTGCCCCGGTACCTGTTGGCTTTTTCGGCGTCCGGGCCGCCGCCAGACTCGGGGCTGTGCAGCTCGGTCCCGCTTCCCGCGCACGCCGCGCACCGAGCGCCCGCAGCCCCCCCGGGCGCCGCCGCCTCCCGCCCGCCGCCGGCCCAGGCAGCCGCGGCCGGAGCCGCGCCTCGCTCCGCGCCGCCGCCTCGCCGCTCGCTCGCGTCCATCGCGGGTCCGCTGAGCGCCACAGCGCGGGGGGCATCGGCTGCCACGGCCGCTCGGCACGGCCGGACCCTCGGCCTGCGCTGCGGGCGCTGCGGGGAGAGCACGCGCCGCCTCACGGGACGGTGGGAGGAGCGGTGCCCCCCCCCCGGCTCCGCGCTTCCACCGAGCCGCGCGGTCACCGGGGCCGGTCCTGCGCTCCCGCGCCGCTCCCCCCCACTCTGCTCGCAAGTGTCCGGCGCGGCGGCCTCCGCTCGGCCTTCCCGCCCCTCCGAGGCCGCGCCTCTCCCTCCCGCCGACCCCGGGCAGTCCCCGCGGCGGGCCGGGAGCGCCCTGAGGGGCCGCGCCCCCGCCGCGCGCCGTTACGTAAGGCGGCGCACGCGGCGGCGCCGCTCCCACACACCCGCGCCGCGTGCGCCGCGCCGCGCGGACACAGCAGGAGGCGGAGGCGGGCTCGGAGGCGCGTTTTTATTGGAGGAGACAGCGCGCGGGGGGCGGGGCCCGCGCGGGCGGGGGCGGCGCCCCGCCCCTCACGCGGCGCCGCACGCGGCCCCCGTGCGCGCGCATGCCCCGCCGCCACGTGCGGCGCCGGCCCCGCCCCGGGGCGTGGCCAGCGGGGGGCGGGGCCCGGGCCGGGCCGCTGAGGCGAGGCGCGGCGCGGGCGGGAACTGCAGGTTAGTGATTAACGACAGGAGTGTCTTAAGGCCGCCAGTGAAGTTAGTCAACGTCTCGATCATCAAAAGAGTTTCGCTTTAAATAGCAGTAAACGGGCTGAGGAGGCAGCAGGTTTTAAGTGGAGAGGTTGAAGGAGATTCTCAAAGGCACCTTCAGCTGACTGGAGTTTCTTCTTGTAATTCATGAATAAGCACTCCAGACTACAAAAAGAAAAAAACGTTGGGTGATGTTCTTCACCCCCTCATCATAACAATCCTGCATTTTAAGAATTTATTATAATAGAGATTAACCCCTTAAATCTAAGAATTTGCCCATGTTGGTTTTCTCAGTTATATTTTTCCCTTGTGTTTGCACACCCGGACTATGTATCTGATGTCAATGGTTACTGCTGTGCTTGTTAGTGTTACAGCACAAACTTAAAAACTTTGTCTCCCCTTTAACCCCTTGGCAATTACATGAGGACTCAAAGACTGAACCATTCCACACCTGGCTCTCTATCCTAACCCAATTTTAGCCTCATTTCACCCAGCAGCCAAACCTCTGATCAAAACCTCCCTGGTACAGCAGCGCACTCATAACTGCCACAAAAAAGCAGGAAGCCAAGGCAGATGACAACAGTTCTCAGACAATGACATTGTGTGGAATCTTGTGTTACACTTCTGCAAAAGGCAGCTGTAAAATAAACCCAAGTCTGTTTCTGGTTTCCAAGTCCTTGCTATTTTCACTTTCACCTTTTTTGCTCTCACTTGTGGCTGAGATTCCAGTAGTGGAGCTCCCACGTTATCACAGTCTGCCATGCACTGCATGCAATTGTTGTTAAATCCATCACTGCTATTTCAAATTCACGTTGGATATACTTCCAGCTGAGTATCCTGCCTTTGCTTAAACTGTACCAGTCAACAAATTAACACCATCCATTCCAAAACTAGGAGAAACCCCCATTTTGGTCAAACTTACGAATAATGATGACGATGATAATGACAACAACACCTATCAATATCGCCCACATCTGTGAAAAAAAGACATACAACACTTACTACACAGCATGCAACAGCACCAAGGTACATTTTCCTGTATCTCAAGGTACAGGAAAACAGCCACTGCAAGGGACTTCTAGCACTGTTTGTCAGCTCTAAGGTAGCAAGCAAAGGTTCTTCAGTCAGCAAGCTTAATCCACTACTAGCACTCAGAAGTGGCAGGCCATGCACACAGGCAAAAAGAGCAATATGGCTTTCTCCACATAAAGCCTGTCCCAAGTGAATGCACAAGCTGTTCTGTTACTCACCAAAGATGAATCCAACCTTTGGCAACAGCTACAAGTACAGGAGTCTGAGTGAGCTTCTTCCACTTTCTAATACTTCCCACACATTAATTCAAGCTATGCGTTTTTAGCTTTTTCTTTTTGTTTCTCAAAGCCTCAGATTACTGACATGCTTCCCTCTGGCCATTATCAGACAAGATCCTGCCTAGGGCAGCACGGCCGGTAACGAAGCTGCTTGTTACTTTAAAAAGTAATGCCATGCTTTAAAAACTAGATGCTGTGACTTAAAAAGCATTGGCTAAACGTTTCCTGCCTTTTGAGACACAGATGTGACAGTGTTACAGGCGCAGTGTGAGCACACAAGCCGAGGTTACCTTGCAGTTCTTCCACCAATACTTCCTCTTCAGCTTGGCCGCGCTGGTCTCGAACTGGGAAGCCCCTGCTTGCAGGGCATCAGCACGGTCATCCAGCTCTGACAGCTTCTGATCCCGCTCCAAAACCTTGTCCACGTTCACTCGCATGATGTCAACAACCTACAGCAGTTCAGTGCTTACAGTAAGTGACCACACAGTGCAACATAATCACACACAGCAGGCAGCTGCACAAGGTACTCCGTGCTTTCTCAGAAGCAGGATCTACTGCCTTTTAGTATATGGAGCCATAAACTTCAAGAAAACTATGAAATCCACCTGTGGCTAAAAGCCCTGAATGCCTATTTTAAAAAGTCAGTAGTGTTGGCATGCCTTCAAACCTGGGAAACAATTCCTGACTTACTTCAGAAGGAGGTGAGGAATATAAACATGAGAGTAAACCATGTCAAGAAATCTTGCCAGCCTGGCTTTTGGACTCCACAAGAATCACATTTGGTAGCCAGCTCTCATGGCTACTGATGACAAAAAAAGCTTGTTCTGTGTAAACAAAGGTTTTTGTCATTACTTATGCCAAATCCTCAAGCACCAAGACTGCAACTGATTTTTGGACACGGGGAACCTCTCTTTGCTTCCCCTTCATATAATGAAGGGAAAACTGCTTTGGAAAAAAATATCCCTTCTAATTTCACAGGTTTCCTGCAGGAAGAGGCTGACACTACTACCAGACCAGACTTTTACCTCATCTACTTGGTGCTGAGTTTGCTGAAGCCGACGATTGCTGCCAGCAGCCATATTTGAGCTTCCAGGGACATTGGCCGACCTGTGGTAAAGAAAGGCATCATTAGACATCTAACAGTCCTGAAAACTGGGCACTTGCATCCTTGTAATAAATACATGGCACTTTCTTACTGGAGAAATGGTGTTTTAACAGCTGACAGTGGGCACAAGTCATGCAGTGTCCCAAACATCTTGTCAACAAATTGCCTGCTGTGCCAAGAGGCAGCAGTGGCTTGCTAACACCACACCTTGCAATGAGGCAGGGGTCAGCTCCAGCAATGCTCCATCAGCCTCAAAGAGTGAGCAGTTTGGCCTCAGGGTGTTCTTTCTTTCCCATATGAACACAGGTACTAAGTTCCAAGCAATAGTAGTTTACAAAAAATTAAATACAAAAACTTAATACTTTTTATAGCTATGTGATTTTCCAGTGGCGCTTCTGTATTCTTTTGAAATGGTTGATATGGAGCAAGAGAACACACCAGAAGGAAAAAGTATTTGGAAAACACAAAATTTACTTTTGGCCAGCTTTAAATTCGTAACAGAGTTCTTTTTACCAGCTACAACACTGGGCATCTTTATAACGAATGCAAGAGCTTCTGTACATACTCTTCATTACCTTTCACCACCTGGCCAGATTTTAATGCCCATCTCTAGAACTATCAGCACTCAATTTCGTTTTCCATGTTCTTAGTTCTTGCACATCAGATGTGAAAGCTTGTTTAGCGCACCCTGGCACTCCAAGCAGCCAAGTCTGTTTCCTGTGTATACACATTTGCTTCTAACTGCACGTAACGAGTGCAGGCACAGCGCGGGAGCCGGGGCAAGGCTCGGAGCCGGCACAGTGTCACTGTTTTGGCGTTGGAGCCGGGGCAAGGCTGGGAGCGGGCACAGTGCCACTGTTTTGGCGTTGGAGCCGGGGCAAGGCTCGGAGCCGGCACAGTGCCACTGTTTTGGCGTTGGAGCCGGGGCAAGGCTGGGAGCCGGCACAGTGCCACTGTTTTGGCGTTGGAGCCGGGGCAAGGCTCGGAGCCGGCACAGTGCCACTGTTTTGGCGTTGGAGCCGGGGCAAGGCTCGGAGCCGGCACAGTGCCACTGTTTTGGCGTTGGAGCCGGGGCAAGGCTCGGAGCAGTGTCACTGTTCTGGCGCTGCCGCCACCCTTGGGTGCCGCTTCAGTGCCAGGTGAGCAGCCTCGGAAATGACAGCGCTTCCTGCGAGGCTGCAAACAGAGCAACGCCCCGGTGCCGGGCAGGGCGGGCCCCGCTCCGAGCCGCGCCCGGGGCTGGCGGGGCAGCCCGGCCTGCGCAGCCCGGCCGGCGCTCCGCTCCCGGCCCGAGCAGCGGCTCCGGCGGGCGGCCCCAGGCTCGGCCGGGCCGGGCCTCGCCTCCGCCGCCGGCCGCGCCCGCCCCACCGCGCAGCCCTCCCGGCACCCCCGCCCGCGGGCCGGACCGGGCCGGGCCCTGCTCCCGCCGCCGCTGGGCCCGTCCCGTCCCCCCGCTCCCCGGATCGCCCCGCACTCACATCCTGGCGGTGGGACGAGAACGGGGCCGCGGCGGCAGCGCCCGGGCGGGTCCAGCGGGAGCTGCGCGCGGCGCCCGCGCTGACGAGTCACGGGGCGGGCTCGGGGCGATGGGCGGGACCCGGGGCGGGCTCGGGGCGGGCGCGATGTGCGAGGGCCGAGACCGGGACAGGACCGGGACGGGGGCGATGTGCGACGGCCGGGACCGGGGCGGCGATGGACGGGAGCCGGGGCGGGACCGGGACGGGGGCGATGGGCGAGAGCGGAGCGGGGCGCGGGGCGCGGGCGGGGTCAGGGCGGGGCCGGGGCCGGGCCATGGCCCTGCCCCCGCAGGCTGCAGAGGTGGGGCTGTGGCCGCTGGGGGGCGCTGGGCCGGCACCGCCCGACCCGGGCGGGAACGGCAACGGCAACAACGGAACGGAGAGAGCGGCCGGGCACGGACACACGGACAGACACGGACATACGGACAGACAGACATGGACACACAGACACACCCTGACAGGGGCACGGACACACAGACAGACACGGACACACGGACAGACAGACATGGACACACAGACACACACTGACAGGGGCACGGACACACGGACAGACACGGACACACGGACAGACAGACATGGACACACAGACACACACTGACAGGGGCACGGACACACGGACAGACACGGACACACGGACAGACACAGACACACGGACAGACACGGTCACACGGACAGACAGACATGGACACACAGACACACACTGACAGGGGCACGGACACACAGACAGACAGACATACGGACAGACAGACATGGACACACAGACACACACTGACAGGGGCACGGACACACGGGGGGGGACGCACGGACAGACAGACAGACACGGACACACGGGCACACAGACGTGGACACGCACACAGACACAGCCAAGAGAGTTCCGTGGTGTTGTCACTCGTGTCCCAGCGCTCCGTGCAGCACACGAGGGGAGCCGGGGGTGTGCTTGTCTTTGTCCATGTCCTTATCCTTGTCCTTATCCTTGTCCTTGTTCCCCGCCCTGGCTGCAGGGCCGCCCCGCGCCCGCCGCCCGGTCCCGGCGGGGCTGGAGCCGCCGCTCCCGGCAGCCGCACGGAGCTGTCGGTGGCCCGAGCGGGGCCGGTCACTCGCCGGGGATCGGTGCCGCCGGCAGCGCTCCCGCAGGAGCCCCGGGGCTGCTCCGCCAGAGAACACCGAACTCCGCAGGGCACCGGTGGGAGGGAGGCACTGGCTGCCTTTGCACCACGTATTCTGAGTTATCTTTTCTTTTTTTCCCCTTATCAAACTTTATCTCATCCCGGGCATTTTTTTCCCCTCATGTTTGGTCTTGCAGTTCTCTCCCGCCATGCCCCTGGAGATGAGGGAGGAGGCGCCTTCTTTCAGGACTTGGTCAACCCGCCACGATAGGAAAGAACTCAGCAATTAAAAGCCATGTAAGATGGAAAAATGGGAGCGATTTAGAGAGTTAAATGCTGATTTATTCTAAAAGAGAAACGTAATTAAACTTTCTCTGCAGTCAAGAAGAAACTCTCTTTTATTGAAATCTTCAGTTGTGGAGCTGGGTTTTGGAAAAGCTTACTCATTATGGTACTAACACAGTCTCTGACAGATCAGATAATTATTTTATTAAAGCCACTTTCAGGTTTTGCCTGCTGGGCTTGCCATTAGTCTGGTACAAGTTTTGTTCTTGAGGACCAGTTCATGTGAATGACATACTTAATTAGTGCAACGGTTATTGTGTCTCAGTTAATTGTGTCATTAAATGTGACCTCTCAGGTTTCTGCATCAGCAGCGCTCTTGAATTCTGCTGTTAGACTGCTTTGTGTACACTGTAGGATTAAGCATTTTGCTACCAGCTCTATATGGTTTCTCATGAAAAACCCTAGAAGTGATTGCCCACTGCAGAGGAACTGCAAACAAAGCTCTGGGGCTGCAGCTGCTCACAGGCAGGCTGTGGACTCCCACATCATAACCTGTAAGAAATCAGTGCAACATTCCTACAAGCAGGTTGTGTAGAACAGAAACTTTTTTTTTTTTTTGTGTGGTTCCTTAAGAGTGACTAAAGGATTACTTTGTTCTCAAAGAAGGATGGAAGGGATGTGTTCAGAAGAAGAGATGTGTTCAGAAGAAGGCACACACTTTGTATGGGGAAATTTTCTTTTTTAATTTACAGCAGAAAGAATATAAAGCATTCAGAAAACATTTTCCATATTTTAAGGGCAATTCAAAACATTTTGCATGGTTCCAGCAGCTGAGTTCTTCAACAGATCCATTGATTCAGTGATGCTTTACATGCACAGTTACAAAAATAAAACTTACAAAAGAGAAGACATCTATACTAGTTTTACATGCAAGTCTTGGGGACCCCCCATTGGGCACCAGCTATTGTGTGGAACTGCCATAAGCGTGCAACCAGAGAGGGGGTTCATGTTATATTCTGTATTTCTTTCACACAGTATTACTGCTGTCGAATGTGTTTCACAAAGGAGCGATTCTATTATCAGAAGACAGAAGATCTGGCTCCTGGCACTTGGGAATTTGAATTTTCCTAGAAAGCTGCACTTACTTATCTTAGGTGAAAATGTTAAGTTCCACAACCAAGAAGAGGGTTCGAAGAATCACTTCACTGCGGGGGAGAGCTGCTCCCTCCCCAGTGACACACTGAAGGGTTACGGCCCGACACAACAAAGCACTTGGGAGCTGAACTGGCTTCAAGCAGGCCAGGAGTCCTGGAGCTGTGCTGCAGAACTGCCTGCATGCTTCACAGCCAGGACAGGCTTAAACGTTTGGCTGAAGCAGGATCTAGATTAGTAGATACACCACCAGGCCCATGGATCTGGAAGAGTAATTTGAAATAGCTCTGTATATTACTGAATCGTTTTCTGTAAAGACAAGGAGTTAAAACATTTCCACTGAGGTCACTACTCTTGTTTGGAACAGATCAATTCTATATTGTCACGTATTGGTTAATGGGTGCAATATTTCGGTTTCAAAATGTCAAGAGTTCTTCCAGTACTAATACAGAGCATTTCCAATTCATTCCAAAGGAGATTCTTCAGCGTCTCCTGTTCTGTTTTGGCGTGAGAAGAAAATTTAATGGTTAATGTTCCAATTGCAGACAGTAAATTGAGGCCACGAGGCTGCCCACAGGCACAGTGTGAGCGCCAGGCCATTTGTTTTGCTTTTTTCCCTTTTTTTAAAATTGAATCAGGTCATAAAGCAGCAGTTCAGAAATGTACAAGAGAATTCTGATAATGAGCTATAGCACATCTACTGTAATTCAATGCTGGCAGTGAAAAGAAGTAATTAAAAACAGGTACAATTATAGAAAAGGCACCAAGAGCACTGACCCCAGTTTTTTTGCCACAATCTTTGTTTTTACTCTTCTTTTAAAGACACCAGTTTCAAAGCTTCCTATGTGTGAATATTTTTTGGCTTCACAACAAGCCTTGCGTTTAAACATTGCAGTTGGTGGCCGGGATCAAGCAAGAACAACTATTCCAAAACTAACAATCTCAAATTTACACAAGTTCATTCAGAAATTTTAAACTGCCACGAGCGAGACAAACAGACAGGAGCAGTTTCTGATCTCAGACACATGTACGTGACCCACAAGTAATGACACGGACTTCAGGAGTTTCTTCCCTTACATTCCTGTGTAATGAAGATCAGAACTGGTTCCCATTGTTGAGAATCTGTGACAGTTTTAAATTAGTAGCTCAATTTAAAAAAAATCTAATTTCTTTGGCTCCTCACTATGTGGAAATAGCAATATACCATGACACCCCTACAGGATCAGTTTGCATCTTTTTTTTTTTTAAGTTTTACTTAATTTTTTAAAATTTTTTGTGCAATTTTTATTACATTTTCTGACTTCCAGCAGGAGATATGAAAATGTGAAACATATTTTCTACTTTCGTACTATTTATTTATTTTTTTTCATTTTATGTTCATTCTAAGTGTTCTTTATTGGAGTGAGTGTATGGTGTTAAGCTAGATACGGTTTTTGTACTCTTATGATTATCTGCTTTGCAAAAGTAACTTAATTTTCTTAAGCAATATTAGCATTCACATTACTTGGCACCATTGGCAAAAAAAAAGAAAAAAAAAAGAAAAAAAAAAAAGACGGGGGTAAAAAAAAAGAAGGAAGGAATACATAAATTAAACCAAACTGAACCAAACTCCTGGTAGCCAAAATCAAATGTAAACATATCCTTTTTTTCTTTTTTTTTTTTTTTAAAGTAATGTTGCTCTGCCTTTTTTTTCCTAAGTCTAAATACAGTAGCTCTTTTTTGCCATTTAGTCATGCTTTAGCAAAAATGTTCTTCTAAAGAACATTTAAAATAAAGTTTCTTATAGTGAAATAAAGTTTTTGTTTCATTTTACAGACCATAGCCACTAATGCTTTGCTTTGTTCATTTCTTTTTCTTGAGTTCATGCACATATCTCTTTAATATATACAATATGTACAAACAATACATCCACACTCTTCTCGTTCATTCAGACAAAACTATACAAATAATAATTTTATCTTGCCAAGTTATTGACCCTTTGTGAATAAAATATTTAGTAATTAATCAATATATTCCCTTTCAAATATTTTTTTCTCATTTTCCATTTCTACCTTCTATATATACAGAAACTGCCCAGATTTTGATGAAGTAGCCAAAATAAGAAATTTACTGGCCAGAATGCAGCACCACTGATCTTTAGGTGGCATAAAATGTCCAGGCAACATATGTACGTGACTCTGCAAAATGACAAGAGGTTTGACAAGTACATAAGAGAAAAAGCTACATGTTTTACAGATTATTTGAGAACTTAATTAAAACAATAGTACATGAAGGTAAGGCTAGAAAATAAAGTGCTGAATATGAGAGAAAGTACATGACAGTTGATATGTTTGCAGGTTCTAGTAAAAATACAAAAAAAAAAAAAAAAAGTGTAAAATTTGCTTAAGCTGCTCTCTCCATTCCTCATGCAATACCCGTGTCTCTCGTACACCAAACCCCTCCTGTAAGTTCCCACGGGATGTATTAAAAACCTGCAGATTTAAAAAGTTGCATTAAGTGTGCTGTAGAGGTTTAAATAAAACACAAAGGACAGGAGTGCGAAGGAAATGAGGATGCATGGACCCAATAAAGATGTACTGATCTAAGCCCCTCCACTGAGACTCTCAAAGCTTCAGTTTCTTGGAGATGACTGACAGGTGCAGGAACAGCATTCTTGTGTTGCTTGTGCATTCCCACCTTTTCTGAACAATATTTTTGGTATAATATTTGTACAGTTCCACATGTTGTTTAATACAGCCCTATATGAAAAGGATAATTAATCGCTTCTTCCTTCCTCCTCGGAGAATGAAGCAACTCACAATTTCCTCCTGGTGTCTTGTTTTCCCCACGATCCAACAGAAGATTGAGTTCCAAGATGTCTTGCTGAACAAATTAAAAGTTGTCCATGAAAGTGCAAATGCAATGACCAAAACATTACTGTTAA